CCTGAATTTTGCCTGAAACTCTCAGACTGAAGAAGTCTCTTGGAGGAGAGACGAAACGTTTCATTAGAGAAGAACCCGTCCGGAAGACCTATACAATTTTATTCTTTTTGCAATAAACAGTGATTTAAAAAAAAGAGCTGTCAAATACCTTCTTATAGCTGTCCATCAGCATGTTCCCTACGTTTTGCACCAAGAGGGAGAACTCGGGCCTCTTCTCGAACTTTTCATCCCAGCACTTCTTCATGATCTCATAACTGCAACACAGGCACCATAAAAACTCTGAGTCTATCTCAAACACTCGACACGTTGTAGAAACGTTCCAGGGACACTGACATTTCATCAGAAGCGTGAGCAGGTTTGGTCATCCGGTAACCTCTCTTCAAAGCATTGTAGAAGATTTCATTCATGGGCATATCTGGGTAGGGGGTTCCTCCTGCAGGGAGAGTTTGATACGCTTAGATACAAAAGAAAACACCTTAAAGGAGATCAAACTATTTAACCGTTGGATAAATAATAATCCAAAGGATAATGCCAAAATGAAAGTTTTCTATTAATTCTAATTCCTCAACAAAAGCAYCCATTGTTGGAACCAATCTTTTTCTGTGTAATAAATACAGGTTTTCTGACACGACTGTGCAACAAAAAGCAGAAGCAAACAGTTTGATGAAAGTCACATTCATACGTAGAAGCACAGAGATTCTTTATTTGTCACAGAGGGGAGATTGTGATCAGGTCACGTTTTTTTTTTCCCCAGCCAACTGTCGTTTTTGCTTTCATGGTAGCTTCAAATATATATGGGGACACTGTTTTAAAGAAAAACGTACAATACCCTAAGCAAGGAAATGCTGATTTTAAAGCTTGACAGTGGCTAATGAGCTTTTAACCTCGTAAAATTCTTTAATCAGACTGAACTAAGAATCAGACACGGGGTTCCAAATTAGCCTCGGTCTGTTTGGGTTCAGGAGTGTCTGTGCGATTCAAGAACGAACAAAGAGATGAGCATAAATCGTCTGAACAACATGAATGCATCTCTTGTATAGTTTTGACTTTTTTTTGTATGTTTTTATTTTCATTTTTGTCTGTGTGATTATGCATGCTGCTCAGACTGACCCAGGGTGAAAATTTCCCACAGAAGGATGCCGTAGGACCACACATCACTCAGGGTGGTGTACAAATTATGGAAAATACTCTCCGGTGCCATCCACTTCAAGGGCAGGAAGGTCTAAATGAAAAAAAAAAATCACATAAATACTTCAAATTTGAATAACAAATCTTAAAAGTAAAAGAAAAACTTTGTTCCATCAGCAGGACTGAAAGATTCCAGTTTGAACTTATTTTCAACCGTATTACTTAGATCCTATTGGTTGAGATAAAATTTAACAAGGTGCTTCTTACGCTGCCTTTGGAGATGTAGTTGGAATCGTGCATGATGTCTCTGGCCAGGCCAAAGTCACAGATCTTCACCAGCTTGCCCTCACAGATCAAAACATTCCTGGCAGCTAAATCCCGATGGACACACTGGGGTGGGATCACCAAAATAAARCAAATCCAAGAAATCAATACAGTTCAAAACTTTAACTAGCTTTCAAAGTTTTAAAGTGCCTGTAGCGTCAACTGTTTTTATTAAATTTGAAAGTATTTTTGGAAAGATAACATATTGTTAAAATATTATCTTTGCTGAGTTGAACAGTTGTTGAGATATTCACGCGTCTAGTAACAGGAAGTGATGTCAAAGGGGAATGTCTGAATGTGAACAGAGCTTTGCTACAATGGCCGACAACACAGACATGTGTAGCCAAGAATCTGATGTTTCTTTTTGAGTCAATATCAAAGAGATGAAGAGTCAGAGTTCAAATATTAATGGTGGACAAACAGGTTAGTCACATGCAAAAAAGGCCATCGCCTAACAATAGGCTTGATGAGCTCTATTGTTCATAGAGGGTCATGTGCCCCATCAGCTGACTTATTGGTTTGGATGTGGTTATTTGGTGTTTTGTTATGTGTATGTAGTGAGCACAATAGAGCTAATGAAGCCTATTGTTAGGCGGTGGCCCTCTTTTGCATGTGACTAAACTGTTTGTCCATGTGGAGGCAGTGCTTATAAGGCTGAGTTCACCTGAAACTCCTCAGACTGAAGAAGTCTCTTGGAGGAGAGACGAAACGTTTCACTAAAGAACCCGTCCAGAGGACCTACTTATTTTTTCTTTTTTGATTTTTTTCTTCCTGGATTACTGAGGTGCATCAGGACACAAGAGAGTTCTGTTTCTTAAAGAGTTCCCCTTTGATGTCACTTCCCGTTTCTATTTTAGCTGAACCAAGTTCTAAAGAAAACAGGCCAGTTATGTGACAAAATGGGTAAAATGTTGGCGAGTTTCTTCAATATAAATATGTTTTCTTTGACTTTTTGTATCTGAAGGACATGCACGTCACAGGCACTGTAAGATTCTTGTTTAAAAGGCATTTTAAAGTGGATTTATATTTGAATATCCTACATTCTTGGAAGCTAGGAACTCCATCCCCTTCGCCACCTGGTAGCTGAAGCCCAGCAGATCATCATAGGTGAGACTGGGAGAGTCGCTGATCACCAGGTCCAGTCTGATGCCGCCTGAACCAGGTGACAAACAGGAGAAAAGAAAGGTTAAAGGCCAAGGTATAAAGGTGGACTTTAGAAGGGTTCTGGATAAACTTCACATCTTATTCTTCACATCTTTTTCTTTTTTGTGCTTATTTGATTCAAACTGGAGCACTGATTTTTCTAAACCCTCTACAGAGGATAAATAAAAACACGATGTCTCCAACTGGTTTATAAGTCGAACCTTGCTCCTGATAGAGGTCCTGCTGGTAGGGGGACTCGTATGGAGAAGGTTGGATATCTGCGTATTTGATGGTGTCTAACCGCTCCTGCATGGGCACGTAGAGCGAGGGCTCCTCTTTGCTCATGTCCATGTAGCCTCCGTCGCTCTCGCTGCCAGAGGACGCCAGGCTGCAGAGACAGATGAAGTGTGAAAGAGACGCTCAACTGACCCACATCTGAATGTGTGTTGGTAATCCCTGACCCCAGGAAATGCCTGTAACAATCCCCCGTCATGGGATGAGCGAATCAGTCTGTTTGCAGCTATTTGAACGAGCCTCTACGATAAACACTACGTCCTTTTGTGCAGCTCTGAATGCATTTTCTCTGCTCCTCTCACCCTTTGCGCTGACTGAGAGGCGTGCTTCCTCTTGAAATGTAGCAGCCTTCGTCCTGGTTCTTCTCGGCATAGTACTGCAGGAAGGTGTGCTTGTTCCTGTGCAGGTAGTCCACCAGGTCGCCATAGCGACAGTACTCCGTAACCAGGTAGAGAGGGCCTAAGCAACAGAAACGACGAGGATGTAAAAACTAAAGAAACGGCATTTTCTGTGAAATGACGTTTTCTGCGAAAATGCATTGTGAATGCTGAAAACTGTAAGACTTTCTTCTGAAAGCTGCTGAAATCCAGCTGAAACGGTTTAATAGCAAAACGATTAATGAGTTAAATTCAAAGAGCTGAGTGTTGCTGAAAGTAGGACAACAATCAGTAAAAAAATAGTTAAAAAAAGGGTAAAAATAGGGTAAAACATATATATTATAGTCACCCATCAAATATATTATTTTGTGAGTTGAAATTGTTGAAGTTTCATGAGCTGGCTGATTATAAGATTTTGCTAATTATGTATAGGTCTCATAAAAACACATTACCATTGAACATTCAGTCAAACTTCATTAAGAGGGAAAATATTTATAACTTTAAAGGGACAATATTATGTGTTCCTCAGGCATATTTTTAAATACTATACCATAATAAAGTATCTATGTCACCTTTAGTTGTTATTAAAATGCTGTTTTTATGTTTAAATAGAAAATAAACTTTTCTTCTCATCACTTCCTCTTCTAAGCGCCTTGAAATTGGCCTCTGTTTCTTTAAGAACCTCCTTCTGCTTCTGCTCCATCCTGTTCGATGGGGGGGTCCACACGCGAGGGGCTCATGTGCGAGCGCTGGGGGGGGTTGCGTGTGCACTATGATGCAGTTTACTTGGCATCTGAAAATACATTTCCTCGAAGGTATTTTTAATCTGAAAAGAGCTTCACTGAGTGAGAACTAACGTTGAGAGCTCAGCAGACAGTTAAGTTTCACTTTCACTTTTACCCGAGAGCCTGCAGGAGTCATGGGCGGGGTGTGTGGGGAGGGGGAGAGGGGTGTGTGCTCTGCCATGAGGAAGATCAGCTTAAAGACACGTCCCAYGGGCGTTTCTGGTCCCCACCTGTSYTTTTGCTCCTCAYCATGGCTGCCTGAAAACGCTGCAGGATTTCTCAAACATGCATGAATGAGTCAAAGCAAGGCTTTGAGCATGTTTTTTTATGAGAGTATAACATTATAACATGATATAAAACTCAAAAAAGTTGATTTTACATGATATTGCCCCTTTAAAGTATCTGCTTTTGGCCCACGGGCCACTTGTTGAAAATGTTACCCTGACGTCAGATTAAATCCCTGGCTGCATCTCAACATCATCTAATCACAGCACTAAGGATGAGTGAAAGTCATTTACCCTCTGTTTTTACTTCTCTCTGAACCTTTTTTTTTTCCCCACAGGATTTTTTTATCACTGTGGCCACAAATCTGGGTGTCTATTCATCAGAACATTACATTAAATTTGTCTTCACTAGGAATGACAAAGTTCTTGATAAAAACTTCACAAAATGTTGGAGATAGGACCGTGAGACTAGGAAATTTTAGATTTGGTTAGGAAGACTCAAAACCCTCAAATACTGCTGCAATTTAATCAGTTTAAAGATATTTTTGTTGTGATCTGTCTGCATGGGTGTTTTTATTTTGGTCTCTCTTCTGGTTTTCTGTCCTGTATTTCTGTTTTCTTC